TCTGCCCCCTCCCCGGGCTGCCACATCCCTCCTGAAGTGCGGCGCCCAGTACCAGACGCAGTACTCCAACTGCGGCCTGACCGGCTTGAGATGCACCTTTGGATGCATGACAAGGTATGGCTGGCCTTGCTGGCTGTGGTCTGGCATTGGTAGCTCATGTTCATCTTGGAGTCAGAGATGGGGGGCTTGGCGGGGGGACCCTCACTCCCCACTTGCAGCCCATGCCCCACTCCAGCCCTGCCGGTGGCCCCCCCACCCCTGCCAATGCCCCTCACCCCTGTCCAGTGAGCGGCGCAGGGCGATGAACTTGGGCCCGCTGTCGGCAGGGGAGCCCTTGCGGGCCTCGGCGAAGGCCAGGAGGGTGCCGTTGGGGGTGGCCGCGATCAGGGGGATCCGGTAGGTTGCCACTTCCCCCATGTGTTTCCCGCTCACCCACAGCAGCTGCTCCATTGTCACCAAAGGGTTAACCTGGTGGGGAAGTGGGGGGAAGGGGGTAACATCTGCCGATGGGGGGGAAATCTGCCCCCCTGGGGGGCACTAGGGGGCTGGGAGGCACCAGGCTTGAGACAGCCCCCCCCCGGGGAGCACTATGGCCCTGGCGGTGGGGCAAGTGGGCTGGATGCACTGCCCTGCGAGGCACTGTGGGGCATGTCTGGGACAGCCCCCAGGGGGCTATGGGGGGGGGGGTGCCAGGCCCAGGACAAGCCACTGGGCAGGCCGGGGGGGGCGGGAGTGACCCTGGATTTACGCCCCGGGGGCAATGAGGAGCCAGGGGTGGCAAAGGCCCGGGACAGTCCCCTGGGGTCCAGGCCGGGCCGAGCCCCGATCGGGCGGGGGGGCTCACCTGCCCAGGGGTGGCGACCCAGTCCTGCCCCCGCACCAGCGCGCACAGCGCCAGCGCCAGCAGCGCCCAGCGCCGCCCCATGGCGGCGGCCCGGGGAGGGGGTCGCGGCCCCTTTAAGGGCCCAGCAGGACCCCGCGACGCTGTGACAGCGGTGGGGGCAGTGCCCCGCGAAGCCGCTCGGGCGGGGTCGGGGGGCGGGTCCGGGGGCCGGGCCGGGGGTCACGTGAGAGACCGGCTGGGCGCTGGGCTTAAAGGGGTAGAGCGGGGCAGAGCAGACACCTGGGCTCTCTGGGGGGGGGAACAAGAGGAGCTCGGACGCCCGGGTCCCCTCCTGCCCCCGCTGCAGAACAAAGGACACGGCCGAGACCGGAGACCAAGAAACAGCCCTTTATTCCTTCTCCCTCCTCCCATCCAGCCCAACACCCCTCCCCGCCAACCTCTATCACCAGAGCCCCCCTGCGGCTGGTGCTGGAGGCAGCATGGCACACAGACCCCGGCCCGGGCACTGGGGGGGTGCAGGTCCCCAGCCCCCAAGTGCCCCCTTGGGGGCACGAGTTCATCCAATAAATAAATAAATCAGTCAGTCCCCGGGCCACTGCACCCCCCCAGAGGGCAGCCCCAGGGCATGCTGGGAAAGGCAGGTCCTGCAAAACAAGACAGAGTCCAGGGTCATGTGTCAGCTAGTCGGAGCAGAGTCCCGGAGGTACTGGGGATGCTAGGAAGGAAAAGAAGTGGAGATCAGGCAAAAGAGGGCAGTGGGAGGGAAGGGCTGGATCCCCCCTACCACATCTTGGGTGCCTGGGTCCCCTCCCTCCCATGAGCCTGGTGCGGGCAGGCAGGCAGGAGCCCATTCATCTGGGTCCCTTCCAGGTGAAATGGGAGTGGGGAATAGTTTGGAAGGCCGGACGCCTGCCTGGGGTCTCATCCTTTGCAGTCCCCAGTGCCTGGGTTCTCCCTCGACCATGAGAATGGATTAGGGACATGATGTGGGAGCCTGGGTCCCCTTGCCCCGGAATCCCAGATGCCCGTGTCCCGTCCCCAACATGGGACTGGATTGTGGGGGGCGACATAGGAGCCCAGACACCTGGGTCCCTCACCAACGGACCAGCTGGGCCCCGATGAGGTCATGGATGTGGTAGGGCAGCCCCAGGCGGACAGCACGGGGCGGGCGCCGGCTCTGCAGCTCCGCCAGCAGCACCTCACGGTACCGGGCCTTCTGGATCAGGGCCAGCACGGCCTTGCGCCCTACAGGAGGAAGGGGGCAGGTCAGGGGAGCCCAGCCCTCGGAGGGGAAGGAGGGGGAATCAGGGGGGCACTCACCTCGCAGGAAGGCCTTCATGAAGCGTCCAGCACCCGGCACGGCCAGCCACCAGCTCCCGGCGTCTCGCACCGTCAGCACTCCAGCGCCCACCAGCTGCCTGGGGAGGCATGGAGGAGCTGCAGCTGGCTCTGGGCGGGTGGGGGCGGGTGTAACGGGGACAGAAGCTGCAGCTGACTCCAGGGCGGGTGTTGGGCTGGGTGTAACAGGAACAGTAGCTGCAGCTGACTCTGGGGGGCATCAGACTGGGTGTAATGGGGACAGGAGCTGTGGCTGGCTCTGGGATAGAACAGGGCTGGGTGTAGCAGGTCACAGACTCACGTGATGTCGGCGTCCCGGAAACCGAAGTCCTGCATCATCCTCACCGTGTCATAACTAATGTCAGCACAGGGTGTGAGCACCGAGTCCAGGAAGCGTCGCACCAGCGCCTCTGACTCCTTTCCCGCCACCGCCTCCACCACCTGATGGGACCAGGACCCATTACCCAAGAGCCAGCCATAGCTCCTGCCCTGTTACACCCAGCCCTCCTCCACCCTAGAGTCAGCCACAGCGCAGCCCAGCCCAACCTTGGCCTTGTAGTCCTCAGTGAAGACTACCCCGAAGGCATCAGTGTCAAAGCCGAGCTGGAAGAGGCGGACCAGGCCCTCCTCCTTCATGCTGTTCTGGGGGGAAGGGGAGAGTCAGAGGGGCCCTAATATTAGTGGGGGGCAGGGGCCCGATCCGGGGGCTCACCAGGTGCTGGTCCACAGCTGTGCGAGCGGGCACCAGGCTGTAGAGCTGGTGGCGCAGCACGAGGGGGGGCAGCGCGTCATCGAACAGCCCCCGGGGGAAGAGCGCAGCCAAGGAGTGCAGCGATTCCTCCACTGCCCCACGGCCCTCTGGGAAACGGGGGCACTGGGTCAGACCCTGCTGGGGAGACCCAGATGTCCAGGTGCTTGCAGCCCCCCTTCACCCCCCACTTCTCCCCCAGGGAACCCAGGTCCCAGCCCCCTCCTGGTCTCACCCAGCTGGATCTGTTCACTGTTGAGAGGACCCAGGCAGCCACCCCCCAAAGAACCCAAGTGTCCTGCCCCCCAACCCCCACCAAGGAGCCCAGCCTCCCAGTCCTCCCCACCCCCACCCCAGGGACCCAGGCATCCTGCCTCCCCGAGGGGACCCAAGCATCTTCAGTAATGCCAACTGTCACAAAACCATCACAAAACTCAGGATTTCCAAGTCAAAATGACTCTGACATTCGATTTCCTGATCCAACTCTCAGATCTTGAGATTTTCCCCAGCTGGTAAGTGGAGGGAATGGGCAGGGGAGAGGGAAAGGGTGGGGTGTGGGGCAGATTGAGGCCCCCGCAGTGAGGGAGGCAGTGGGGCAGGAGCAGGGGTGGGGGTGAATGGGGCCCCCGGGCCAAGGCAGGTCATCCAGAGGCACTGTGGGGGTGGTCCCCTGCAGGAGCATGCACCCCTGGGGGAGGCATGGGCAGCCCATGCCCCTGCAGAACAGAGGTGAGATGTTCACTGCAGGTACATGCCCCCCCCATGCCTCCCCTCGGGGTGTGCTACACTGTGGAGGGGAGGCCCTAGTGCCCCGCCCTGGCCCTAGTGCCCCATTCACCCCTGCCCCAGTGCCTCCCTCACCACAGAGATCTCTTTTGCACCCCCCCCTTTCCCTCCACTTACCAGCTCGGAGCCATCTGTGCATCTGTCAGTGTCTCCGTGCGTCTGTCCCTCACTCCCACCCCCAGCCCTGCTGCTGCCCCTCACTCCTGACCCGCAGTACCTGTATCTTGCCAGGGTGTGTGGGGTCCCCCCTCCCCGGGTCCAAACCACGCACACACACGCACAGCCCCCCAAGCCTTCACAAACGCCCCCCCCCCCC